ATAAATAAATGTTCTATTTCTTTGTATAGATTAGAAATCCTCACATAATATTGTGCATATTAATCGAGTTTTATATCGATCTTTAAGCGGTAAGAAGTGCGACTAATCGATTGGCGTCAAAAAATTAAGCTAAAACGCACAATTTCTTATTAGAAATACAATGTTAAAATTCTCAGTTGCTGAAAAACGTACTATTATTATCTATATCACGAGCTTAGAATTTTTAATTTCGTTCTGGTCTTCTTTGATAAAACATTCTGATGTTATGGTTCTTATGTTTAATTTTTATATCTTGATTGGATTGTTATTTTATTTTTAATATAAAATAAATAAGTCAGTAGTTTGTTACCAATAAAATTCAGTTTAAGATAACTCTTAATAAGTACATTTTTTTAGAAATTGAGATCTGCAAATGTCCGAATTTTGACTGTTTGTCCAATTATTACAATTGTAAAACAAATACTGTTCTTAAAATTCTTTCCAATAGCCCTGGATATAAAATTAATTAATCAATATACTATCAAACTTAAACGTTACCCATGCTACATTTTATTACAGTGTGGGTTTATATGATTTTAGTTCAATTTTAGTATTAGTAGAATTGTTTGAAGGTTTTCTTTATTACTACCTACAGCGCAAACCGAGGCCAATTTATTATGTATTATTTTTCAGTATACCAGTATACAAATCAAATGTATATTATGACATACTGTGTTTCTGTGCGTTTATAGCTAAGTTAAAAATAATTATACTATGCTCCGTCCCAACCACAGAATAATAATAAAAAGAGATAAACTAACATATTAGATCGCTAACTAACACCTAATACTAGCTTGTATGCGATAGTGAAGTAAATAGAATGACTAAAACCAGTATGATCACACAAAAGAAAAGGAAATTCTTCGTTGTTCAGCGGTTGGTACTCTGCGTGATAAAATAAGTTTTTACCTCCGTATTGAACGATATTTTGTTTTCCAACTGGGCAATGGGCAGACTGAAGTCCTACTGTTTGCGTCACATTAAAATTACTATAGCCACACCCTGGTCTCCACTGTATTGGATTTTTTTTTTTTAAATACTGATATCATGACTGGTATTATTCCTTTGTGCTTTTACCTTTTGATTTTTCATCGGCAACCCGCAGATATCTGGTACACATTGTACAATGTACGTTTTGTACATACTATGTAAACAACAGTTTTGTCTCCTACTGAATAGCACGAACCCCACGGTCTTAATAATATTATGCCGCGTACCTACAGTGTTATTATATTTTATCATTATTGTTTTCGGCCGTTATTAAAAAATGCCATTCCGGACGCCACCCGGACGAGTGAGTTTTAGATAGGTACTTCGATAAAGGGTAGGTATGTATGTATATTGTGTACAGTATACATACAATATAACTACTCTAAAGTCAAGTGTTCGTATGATAAAATATATATATACCTATGCCTTTACGATGTCGAGTCGTTGCAGGAATCTGCAAAGGCAAAGCAATAACAAATAAAATATAAAAACGAAACTTTGAGCTTCAAACGGAAAAACATAATTTTCGAGTTCCGAGAATATTTTCCTACCGAACCGAAGAGTACTTTATATTGGGGATCGGGATACTCGGAACCGCCGTTAAGGGTGTACCCGTATATTAATAAATGCGAGTAGAGGTACATAATATACACGCTGTAGCATTATACCTTTATGCTCATGCCGTACACGGTATTTATGCGCTGCGGCGGAGAGTGAGGTCACGTGCCGGCGACGGGGCACGTGTTCCAGGTATACAGAGCGCGTAATTTGATTTGACGTTGTACGTTAATTAACGAGCACAAAGGCCGGGCATGTGTAGTAAACGGAAAAGGCCGCGCGCAAAGGGACGATTCTGTGTAGCTTATATTATTATAATACTATATACCCGGAAAAAAAATTTGATTAAAATCCAAATTGATAGCGTTCAAACGTAGCGATTCGCTAAAGCCCGACCGTTCGAGAGTACTTGCTCGCAATGTTCACACTACATATATATATATATATATATATATTATTTTTTATCAATAACAAAATAATAGGTATATACCCTCTACAAAATGTTATGTAGCCGTAAAACCATGATTACTTTCCGATTGTCTGGAGGCGTCCTCGTTTAAGTCGGTGTATCGTCAATTTAACTGTCACACAGCAAAAATGAATTTTACAAATCTAATATTTTATAAGAACTGTTACAGTATTTTTAAAAGTGTAAAAATATTTAAAAAACATATTTTGACATTAGCACCACAAATGCTTTACCAATCGACCGTTATTTTTAAACATTTAAATTTATTGTTTCAAAATGTCAAGGAAATATATTTAAAGCGTCCGAGTTATTAAGTGTTTGATTAGGAAATCAGGAGTCAAAATATAATTTCAATATATTCTTTATAATATTTAAAAAATATTGTAACAGTTATTAAAAAGTATTATAATTTTAAAATATTCATTTGTTGTGTAATGGAAATGTTGATCTCCTTTTTAGTGGTTAGGCGCGGAACCGGAAGTATTTGTGTATCAATTATGTGTTCTTAAATTGATTTTGTCACTAAATCAAGGATTTCTTAATGTAGGCAAGCTATGTATAATAAAAATAGTTAAAAAAAAGTTTAAAAAATTCAACCCTTTCTTGTCAAACGCCCAGAAATGTTTCATATTTTTCAACTCTAATATAATGCACGTTGTAACTTTTCGAAAAATAGTTTAATTAAATTCCAAATTTCTTAAGGCCATCCTTTTTTTAGAGCACTATAAGAAAATACTACAAATTGTGGGAAAATAATACAAATTCGCATCGAAGTATTTTCCAGTGATCGTCCTGACCCTATTATATTCTCCGTCACCACTTTAGTATGTTTTTGAACTAAAAAGAAAATTAATATTACCCAAGTTAGGTATTATTTTATCCAGTTATCTATCGTTCCGTGAACATATCACTCAAATCTGTAACAAAGCCCTTCGGATCTTCGGTTTTTTAAAGCGCAATTGTTGGGAGTTTAACGATCCAGTCTGTCTCAGAGTCTTATATATAGCGCTAATTCGTTCGATTATTCAATATGGTTCCATCATATAGGGCACCTCATCAAGCATGGTTAGTAGATAAGATAGAAAGTCTTCAGAGACGTTTTTTGCGAATCGTAGCTTTTAAAACTGGAAAAGTCGGAGTCGATCTTGATACAGTTGCTGCTGAAATCGAATTAAATAGTCTCGCTCATCGTCGTCGTATTTTTGATGTTGTTTGGATTTATAAATTAATAAACAACCAAATTGATTGTCCTGAAATATTACAAATCATTCCATTTAATGTTCCTAACGTTACGTTAAAGATCTCTTTCCACGTTTTACATCTCTCCTTACCGCCAAAATTATAGTGTTAATGCTCCGCTCAACCGTATGTTATTATTGTGTAACTCGCTAGAGAATATAGATTTATTTAACACAACCTTAACCAATTTAAAAAAATGTATCAAATAAAATAACTGTTATTTTAACAATCAGTGTGATTTTCAAGACAATTTTCTAATAGGGAATTACGCGATACGATCAAACAAACTATATCACGAAATTGCTTATGCCACGAAAATACCTTCCTTCACCCTATATATATATATATATATATTTTTATAGAGTTTTACATACATACTTGCAATCTGCATACTGCCAAACTATACATTATTTTATAATAATTAATCATAGGGTGTATTTTGCACAAAATTGCACATTTTAATAAAATTTATAATATTAAATACCGCACAATAATAACATTGGTATCGGAATACCCACAGATATCGACCATGCCGTCAGCAGTCAAAAGTAGTTATACTTTGTCATCTTTTAGTTGGATTAAGAATTATTTTTTAAAAATATTGACCACCTGGTAACAGAGGCAACTACATATAGTAGTTATATTATATGAGCATATGACCCTAAACGTTACAATAAGAAAGGGAGACATTGGAGTACCCTGGTCTTGGTGGCGTGCCCCCGGGCGGGAAGAATGGGGATTCCTACGCCCGCGGTCCGAAGAAAGGGAGACAATTCATAGTTTTTCGGGGACAAAACGTAAGCGTCCGAAATTAAGGTTTTTTTTTACCAATTACTTAATAATTACTGTTGAACGTGTACCGATAAATATTTGCAATAATGCGCATTACATCATGCGCGTGGTATTATTAAGGATTTCAACTTCCTTTTTAACACACAATAATTTTCTGGGAATAAAAGTATACAATGTACAATATGATATTATTATAATATTTAATATAATAACATGGCGAACGCTTTTTGTAGGTATATTATAATATAAAACTAATGTGAATTTGATTTGACTTTTCCGTTTTCTGAATATTTTTCGCTTCTCGGTATTGTTTATTATATGATGTCGCTTGTCGAAAACAATAGCCGTTCTAAGAAACAAGCCTTTTGAGCGTAACGGATGAACGAAGTAGTCGGAATTTCTAGGGGGAGTGAGGCTTTTGTTGGTGGGGGTGGGAGGAAGTATTTCCTATCGCTTCCACTTAAAGTACGGTAGACATTGTATATAAATAAAATATTTTATTTTAGAATGTTTATGGAAGAAAAAAAACACTTGCATCATTCGGATACTATTAATATTATTATTATTATACAGCACGCAATGAGTGTAATAAATTCAAACGGAATTCCTCGTCTACCGAGTACAGGTAGTAATAATCGTTGGTAGTATAAAAAAAAAACCGTTCGTATTCAATTCGAGTGGTTCTGCCTGTCGCGGCGGTGAGTTGCGGAGGGCCCGCGAGGCCGGGCGGTGACGGTACGGGCATGCCGCGGTAGCGCCCGCCCACGACAGCCGCCGGTTGGTCCAATGGCGGCCGCGCGCCGGATGCTGTTGTGCCGCCGCGCGTTAACGGACAGCGGAACGCAGCCGCCGCCGCCGCCGCGGTAACGGTAGCGTCGACGTTATTAGGACATACACGCGCGCACGCATCGCACGTCCGTCCATCGTACACGAGTCGCAACTGCTCGAAATACGTACGTGAATGCTTCGCGCGCGTGTCCGGCGTAGGTGCGATACAACTGTTTCAATTTCGGTCCGTTCGCGTAAGACCCGTTACGCGTAGCCCCGGAGGTCGTGCGGACGCCTGATTTTTGGCGGGCCTCAGACGATGACCACGGCCTGCAGGCCCTCAGTCTGGGGCGGAGTGCCCTGACGCGATCAACGTCGGTTTCGATCGCTAAACGCCAGCAAGTCAAGCGCTGACGTTTAAAATTTCCGGTTTTCACCCCAACCTAAAAACCGAAAATCCGCAACTATTCTGTCGTCGATACCGTTCAGGCCAGGGATCAGGCCGAACATGCTCAACAACATAAGCATAATCGGTCCAAACATTGTTGGCGGTAAGCGTACAATACTCATAACCGCAGGTTAAGCACTGACTATTAAGCAAGTTGAAACTATTACTGTAAATTAACTTCCTAGTTCCTGTAACTTGTAAACTTAAAGATAATTTGTTTTTGTCCTCCATGTTAGGTTTTTTTTTTAATACAGTTTCGCTCATTATTTTTTAATAAGACAACAGTATGTAATTAATAAACATATAGCCGCTTCAGTGATTAACAAACGCACTTTCAAAGTATTAATCTAATAAATTGATCAATTATTCAAATAACTAATACATAATATTATCATTGTCAACATAATTTATAATGACATCAAGATGTACATTTATAATTGCCTTATAATTTATGAATGTTTCATAATTTTGTGTATTGTATTCCCCTTCTTGAACCACCTTTTTGGTTCTCATTACAATATTGTTACTCTCGTGACCTATCTAATATTTTCATTTTTCATTATATAAAAAGAGTATTCTATTAAGCTTAATTAAACAGTGTTTAACACACTAAAACGAATTAGTTTTTAAGTGTTAATAATTCAGCACCAATATAATATAATAATAATATATAATAACAATATAATATTTGTATAATATAGATGGATTATATTATTTAGGGTCTAATTTTGCTTAATGCACAATAAAAACCAACATTTTTAATATAAATCTGCCCTCATTAAAACTATATTTAAAGATGTTCCTTTTTCCTAATACTTATATTATTTTTTATTTTTAACATGGTTGATAACACTATTGTTGTGCTCCGTCCCGGGTAAGATGTTAATAATACATTTTATATTATTCTAGATAAAACAATAATATTTAATTTTATATTTTATTATTGGTTTTTATAGATATGTAATTTGTTTACAAAAACCTTGCAAATTTACTCAACAAAATAAAAGTTTAAAAGAAAATGTATAGAAATAAAACAAATCGCTTAATATGTACCTAATTGACAATCGTATAACTTATTAAATACTAATACAAAATGTATAGTTTTGATAGTTTGCTTTAACACAAATGTAGGATTAGATACAACCATCAAATGTTGGAAGAATTCCATGTAGAAACTGGCTTAAGACAGGGTGATGCATTGTCCCCTATGCTATTTAATATAGCACTAGAATATGTAGTAAGAGCGTCCTAGAATCAAACACAGTGGTTAAAATCCAGAAAAATACAGCAGTAACTATAGTGGCATATGCTGATGATTTTATGATCGCAGCTGAATCAGAAGCAAATTTAAAAACGACAACATCAGACCTAGTAGAAAAAAGTAAGGAAATGGGATTAATTATCAATGAAAGTAAAACGAAGTACAGGATATTATCACGCAGAACCCACAACCAAACGGAATTAGTAGTAAGACAAATGAGATTTGAAAGAGTAGAAACTTTTAAGTACCTTGAAGTAGGACTGGACGCAATCAATGGTGGACACAATGAAGTACAAAGAAGAGTAACTGCAGCTAATAGATGTTTTGGAATTCTAAAAATAACAATGTATAAAGTACTTGTTAAGCCTATTGCATTGTACGCATGTGAGGCATGGCCCTCAACAAAATATGATGAAAAAAAGTTAGCAATATTTTAATGGAAAGTACTAAGACAAATATTCGGCCCTAAAAAGAATGATGAAACCAATGAATATGAACGTAAAACTAATGATGACTTAAATGAGCTATACAACCAACCGGACATAGTAGCAGTAATGAAGAGCAAAAGAATCGGATGGGCAAAACTATTAAAAAAAATAACCTTATGGAAACCAAACAAAACGAGACCCCTGGGCCAACCAAGACAACGATGGCGTGACCGTGTACATCAAGACCTAAGGTTGATAGGAGTAGAGAATCCGGAAGAGATGGCAAGAGATAGAACGGTGAAGGGAGGTGGAGTTGCGGCAAAGGGCCTTAATGGCCTATATTAAGCAAAAAAAATATATATATTATATTATTATTTGTTTTAACTATTTTAAAGCATTAAAAGTTATGGACGGAAATAGTCGATTATTTAAGTTGGAAAACTTCAAGACTCCTACTAAACTACTACAGCCAAATTAAATTAAATAGGCGTTATTATATTCTTTAGATTCGTTTCAAAACTTTGATTAAAGCAAATTACAAGTGATAATTATGTTATTGTTAGAAATGCTATAGAAATTATAATAATTTTAAAAACAAACTAAACTAAAATGGTAAGTTCATCTATATTTTAGTCTGGTTCTCGCAGCCTATTCTAAATTACTAAATATATAATAAAGAAACGATAATAATAAAATGATAAACTTTTAATAAACTACTTAGTCATTTTATATTATAGCATACGGTTGGGTTAGTTATTTACAATGATTTAACTTATTAGTTGATTAAGATTTGAAATGTTGAGTTAATACACAAAATCTCTACTTAAAACAAAATCTATTTTACCAATTTATAGTTTATACACGACATGTTCATAGTAAAAACAACTACTGTAAATTATTAAAGCACAAATGCTGAAAAATATTATTTCTTTAAAACAAACATTTCAAAATGAATATATTTTTTTATTTAATAAAAATAATAGCAGTTTATTGTTTGCGCATTATTTTTATTTCAATTCGAAAGGCCCTTTTTCGTTTTTATGGAAAATCTAATCATATACTGATTCTTTTGGTAAAATAGACTGAGAATAGAATAAAACCATTACTCCTTACTATTTCCTAGGTGTCATTACAGTTCTTATTCCATTTTGCTACAAAACTTACCATTTCCAATGAACAACAAAATGATACATTGCAAACTGTCATGCTACAAAACTGACCATTTTCCTAATAAATATTATGCAAAACGTCAATTTTCCATAATGTTCTCATACAACAGCAGTTGTAATGGTATACCCAACTTATTTTCGACAAAAAGGACAATTTCCGGAAATGACACCTTTTATTTAACTACTGACACATTTTATTCAAAGCATCATTTTTTCCAAAACGGCCTTTTTCCCGAAAAAGTAACCGGGTTATTCTTTTAAAACTGCAACACATTTTTATATTGAGCCTGGCTTCTGTTGCTATATTCGGATTTTATATGTATCAAGAAACATCGAAAAATTTCCAATTGCATATCCATAGACTTACATAATTAAGTTACATGACGCGTGAATAGCCGCTATGTATTTTACAGTAAATTGGCTGTACTTAAACAAAATAATGGGATTAAAGTTTATTTTTTTTTTAAATTAACTATGTAATTCATTAGATTCATTTTAATTTGTAACTTATTCAATAAATCGTCATTCAAATTACCTTAACGGAGTTGATAATATAAATATTAACTTGGATAGCTTTATAGTATTGTAAGCTGCCCTTGTTCAAACTCTTACTATGGAGTAATATTTCTTTGAATAATAATTGTAGAAACATGTATATGACGTCTAATGCTATATTATTGAATAGAATATAAAATTTGCAATTCATTTTTTTTCAGAGATATTAAGTTTTTTGTCTTTCCTGAAACATTTTAAAACCTGGCATGTTCCCTTTCTGTTTTTAGTGACTCACGTATTTCCTGCCCTACAAAACACCAGGCAAAGAATGAGAATCCAGTGTTGTTAACTTAGGCTTAGAATAAATGTTGATCGGTGTCGTTTAAAGTTTTCTTACAATTTGCTTGTTATTATGGTCTAACGGTCGAGTTTTTTTTTTTTTTTTGGGGGGGGGGAGGGCCATAATACAGTTCGAACAAAACAATACAATATCTATATAAAATGGGGAAAAAAACTAATAAAAAAAATAATATTTAATAAAACAATACCGCCTGCACACGGCCGGGTCATCGATCGGCAATACACCGGCATGGCGGGCGCATGTCTGTTGTCCGCGCCGTTGTCCAAGGGTTCACACCTCGTCCGTCACGTTAACTTTACACCGCCGTTGATTATATTAGAAAACTCGGGTTTTGATAGGACGGCCGGTTAAATTTAATTTGCAACGGCAAATTACCCCTTGTGGCCTCCGTACGGCACACACTTACTCGACACAACAATATAATCGTACCAACCTGCGACACGGACGTTCAGTCTACGGCCTAACCGCACGTCGGCCATATATGCGGTCTTGTTTCTTTTTATCTATCTCACTAAAACCATAATAGTTATAACACCGTTCTAAATTGTATAGGCTAAACAAATAACTGGAAACGTTAAGCTTTAACGGGGCTTGTTCGTTTTTGTTTTAATTGTATCTATCACTTTCGTTTAGGTCACAAAGACTTCGATGGTCTTAAACACAGATCGTTACACCAGCTGCAAAGTGGTAGCGTCGCCGGGAGTGGACACGACGTCGGTGGCCAAGGGCCGCTGGTCGGTAGCGGCGAGAGCAACAACGGCCACCTGGGCAACGGGCCGTCGCCGCCGCAAGTGGCCTCGGCCAACGGCGGACCGTTCCGGTTGTCGTGCGGAGGATTCGAGCTGTCGTCCACGGGACACGGGCTGGCCGCCGCCGCAGCTGCAGCTGCTGCTGCAGCGGCTGCCAACGCTAACAGCCACTGTGGCCACGGCGGCGGCGGTGACGATTCGGGTAAACCGAACAAGCAAAAGCGGCACCGGACCCGGTTCACGCCGGCGCAACTCAACGAGTTGGAACGGTGTTTCAGCAAAACCCATTATCCGGACATATTTATGCGGGAAGAGATAGCTATGCGCATAGGACTCACCGAATCCAGAGTGCAGGTAAGCAGCTTTGTTTTTATTTGTGCTGAACATTGGACAGTAATTCTTGTCAAAAATTCTAAACGGGGACACTTTCTCAATGAACTTTTGATCTAATAAAGTACATTTCGTGTACGATTTACTGAAAATTAGAAAAAAAATTTACCAAGTGATCAAATTAACGTAAGACTTTCGTTTCCTCGGAAAATAATTGAAATTATATAGTTTTTTTAACAACTTTTTATTTGTGTTATTTTACAATTATACAAACCCTAAAAATTTACCGTTTTTGTTATTTTCTTGGAAGCCCTGTCAGTCACGGTGCTGAACGATATCTCTATAGACCTATAGACTGTATGAATTATAAAGAAATCGGTCCAGCTGTTGAAAAATTATCGTGGATTTCCCTAAAAAAAACCATACATATCATATTATGACTATGCTATCTCGGCTTCGGAGCTAATTTAAATTATTTTCATTTAACTTTTCATCTGTTAGCCTTTAGTTATATCATAGTAGAACTGTTTAAAATGTATCCCGTGGAGTTGAGTAAGCTGATGACCAATATTGCATTGTACCGTGTACGCCAAATAACTCAGACATTTTATTATAATACATTCAAATTTAAACATGCTTAAGCATTTCACTTACACCATATCCATATCCTTTACTCAGACATTCTCCAGCTTTTCCAAAAACTACTTTATAGGCTCGGCAGGATAAGTAGTCCTCCCAGACCTCCCAACTTTTTCTCATAGCATTGCCTGATCAGCCTATTATCCCTTGTGGTTTCTTAATCTTCTACTAAAAGAAAATTCTTCTTTTGCTCGTCTAATTGCTGGTCATAATCTCGTCTTCTCCTTTCTCAATCTCTCTTAATTCCTACCCATTCTGCACATTACATGATAAATCTATTATACGTGATTTTCCCATCTTCTTTTTCATTATCCCACTGTCTCTTCTAACAAAAATATTCTTTTTAACTTTCTCTCCACAATATAGGTATTATATAACACCCTAAACCATCCAATATCCATAACTCTCGTTCTGTTCCCTTCATAGCCTCCATCATTGGATTTATTTTAGACGCTGGCTATTCGATTTAATTTATATCAGTTATATTTTTAAACAGACTTACAAGCCATTAAAGGCGATAAATAGATTGCTTGGCCGAAATCTCATTCGTCTCCCACGACCGGCTGTGAAACAATTATTTTGTATTTTATATTAATTTTGTAGCCCGGTCGTACGTCGGTCGCCGGCAACAACAACGTTATTGTTACGTTATCGTCTATTGTATTGTAAATATTGTAATCGTTTCGAAACGCAATAACTAAAGGCGCGCGCTGACTGTCCGTCGTTTACACGACGGCCGTGCGATTTTGTATCTGTTTTTGAACGTCTCCCGCATTATTGTTGTTGTTGTCATTGTTGTGTGCCAAAACGGCACGGCGGCGGCTGCTGCGGCGCTAACGTTATTAAGTCGGCGGTGCCGGAGGCGTGCGCGCGAGGCCCGTCCCCCCGTCGTCACATTTTCGCATGCGTACACCGTTTTTACTTTCACCGCCCATCCACCCGGTCGCCCACCACTTCTGGGTTTTGTTTTAGCGCTCCCCTCGTCGTCGTAAACAGTGATCAACGCAAATCCCCGACTGTTTATCAAACTCAGATAGTCCCCCTCTCGTCCATCCCCTCCTTCTACGCCGGCAGTGGGAATATTTCGCTCCCCTCATTTTTATATACACCCGGAAAATAACTAAGAAAACGTTTTTTTAATCGAATAAAGAATCCAAAACAAAGTTATCCATATCGAATTCCGTCTTGTGCACAAACTTCCCTAAAGGCAACACCAAAATGGAAGTTCTCGCGATTGTCTGGCAAGGTCCAAGACGGTCGCGGAACTCATCGATAACTTCTATTGAGCAAGTACAGCTAGTGAAGAAAAATCCTTAGATGGGCTGCTCAGTAGAATAGGTATGGTTTTATATTGTATAGCCAATGGCCTTGTGCATACTTCAGAAGGGTTGCGTTAAGAAAGTATATATTGTATTTTATTTTTTAAATAACACGAGTTAAAAAAAAGTGTTAGTGTGGTGAGATTGGAACCCGTAATCGTACAAAAGTTTGTGTACATTTAAGGTTACTTAGATTCTCAATTTCAATACTCAAGCTGAGTACATAGAAAATAAGAGTGAACTGTATTAGATTTTCCTTTGTAATTTGATCGGTCAGGATAAGTGAATTCCATGCCAAATCACCTGATGTGTGTGCGAGTGAATTTTTGAAATGCCTCAAATTTACATATCCTATTCAGATAGTTCCATAAAACTAGAAAAGTGAAGAAAAACATTTTTAAAACTTTTGGACTTAGTCGATGCTATATTCCCAAAATTTGTTGTAAAAACTCCAAGTTCACGATCACGTTACTTAATGACTAATTCTGATATCGAAATGGAATTTTCACTGAACAATTTTAATTTAAATGTTCTTTTTCATAATATACTTGAACACTTTTTTGCAAACTTTTAAGTACTTAAAAATTGAAAAACAAATTCAAAAGTTTTAGAATTTTATTTAAATTTATTACTAACTCAAGGTCAACATTTCAAAACTTTTTTTTATTCTGATACATTATACTATACTCTTTTGATTCAGAACTTTTTTTTGAAATTTTTTTTTTATGATGTACAAGTAACCTTAAAGTTTTGGCATTTTATTAAAAAGTACAATACTTAAGAGCCTATAACTTTTTATGCCATGAACCAAGTTAACAAAAGTCTCCATTACAAAACTGTTACCAAATTTTCTACATACATATAAGTAAGTGCTTTAAAAAATTCAGAATTTAACTTGTATTATTTTTTCAAATAATATAATTATCTATTGTTTAGGGCGCCCTTATGAATGAATGGACTCAAATATACTTTTAAGGCGTCTATAAATAAAATCTAACGTGTATAATATGTATATTAAATATACGTTAATAATTTATCTATCATTAGTAGGTTGGACAGCTGATTTAAAAAAAGTTATACGAATAAGATGGAATTTTATGATACGAAACTCGAGAGTTAAGCAGAACAAAATTGAAAGTGATTCAATGTTGGAATCAATGTTAATTTTTAGATGTATAAAAAAACAATCAAATCGGTTTCGTTTAATATTATGGCAATACATTATTATTATACAACATATTGCTGTTATGACAATACAATACAAATGAACAAAAAAAGGTTTATATGCTTAGTGATTTAAGCTGAATATTAACTAAAATCAACTGTCTGTTGCAGTTTCTTTTATTCGGTGTCCATCAAACTTTGCGTCCCACGAGACAAATGTAGTCTCTATTCATTTTAACTCGGGCGCGCCCCCTAATGGATCCGTCCTGGTGACAACGTTTCACCCCATTACACGATACGTACCACCAGCTTGACTTTGATTGATTCGATAGAATTTTACTAATATTTTTTAATTAAAATTCAAATCAAAAGACATAATACTATCCATGCGAAGTTTATATATTATATACAACTACGCAAGCCAGGAATACTTTTAAAATAATAAAAACTAAAAATATAATTTACAAATAACATGAAATACAATATTTAATAATATCACATACTGCGTTTAACATTGGTATTCAAAAACCAGAAAACAAAATAATAATTAAAATAAGCACACAGTTATGCATTTTTACATATTGAATATATATTACGGTTACATTAAAAGCCTAACGTCGGTAATGCTAATGACCAATCTCAATTCAGCGTTAGGCGAGGTTATAGACTAGATAAGGTTAAATTTTATAACCGAATGGTTACAATTCAAATGTAAAATGTACCATTATTTTAATTGAATTGCATTTCCATTTGTTTAGGCTGTTAACCCCACTTAACTTTTGAGGCTGTAAATTTCGTTATAAATTAAATCATTATTTTCCGCGAATAAGTTAACTTCTTCACCCCTGTAATCGGGAAAAAATTGACTGGTTTTTCAACTTTAAACTTTGACGTGTTATAACTTGGCAAAAAAACAGTCGAATCTGTATATAGTATAACCTAGTACAGTTAAACCCGTAGAATATAAACCAAGTTCTGTGTCTATACCAATACAGTATAAACTAAGTACAGTTTAAACCAAGCACACCGTAAACCAACTGACCTGACTGTACCAGTGCAGTCCAAATCAAGTACATAATAAACTGGTACAGGAGAAGTAGGTATAAAAGTAAGTTGCCATGTCCACAGGTTCTAATTGAATTTCATCATTCGGATCAATTCATTTGACTCTTACGACAGCACGTTGAAATCACTTCAAACGTTCGGATCGGTTTATTATAAAACAACTACTCGTATACTTGTGCACCACTTGGACAAAGCCAAAGCTAAGCTGAAGAATAATGATATAATTAGTGACGGTTTGTTGAAACGAAGGCTCAAAATTAATACCAAAATTCAAACGCTTTTTTTTGCACAATCTGGACATGCACGAAAAGCTCAAAAACGAATTACCCCTTTGATTCGGCCCCCTTCTTACACTACGCGCAACAGTGGTACAAATTAGTACTATGTTAAAGTTGTCCGATGATCTGCATGTAGACCGCTTCATAAGTATGGTAGACCAGTGAAGCGATTGGTCAGTCTCTTCACCTCATACCAGTATCATCCCAGTCATCCCATGCCTGGCGCTATTCCCACTTTTTCTGGCATCTCTCTGTTGAACTTTCGTCCCCATGCGTCTGACCTAATAAACTATAAAAAAAGCTAGCTTTGAGTTTTCTAAGGAAAAGCAAATCTGAGAAATTATGTGTCGAGATGTTCAATTAAAATAAGGATATCATACTCATTAAGAGCCAATTCGACTTACGATAGGCGGTTCCGACTGGGCGGGGGGAGGAGGGGGTCTTGCGGTGATTTGCGGACGGATTCGCGTGCGCCTAACTTACAATATAATATTTTGGGTAGGTGTGCGCGTAATATATAATATGATGTTATTTACGCGCGCGTGTATGAATGTTATGC